CCGCCCCCTGCCGCCCCCCACGAACACACACAATGGTTATTTGACTTCAATTTCTCTACCAGGTCACTATTACTGAGGTCACATGCACACCTAATGGTGTCTTATTTATTCTTTTCTTTTGAACCCCATTGTTTTCTGTCATCTATCTTAATTTATACACATACCTATTGCCTCCCTGAGGTTTTTTTTTGTTAGTTCCAGGTGTACAAAACAGCATAATAATTAGACATTTACCCCCTTCATAAAGTGATAACATCCACCAATCTATACCCTTCTGACATTGTATATAGCTGTTACAATAGCATTGACTATATTCCCTATGCTATACTTTATATCCTGTACTGATAAATTTTTAATTATAGTTGACACTCAATGTTATTCTACTTCAGCTTCAGGTGTATAGCTCATTGGTCAGGCATCTACACAATCTATGAAGTGATCCCCCTGATAAGTCCAGTGCCCATCTGGCACCCTGCATAATCTTTACAACATTACTGATTATATTCCCCATGCTGTATTTCATATCCCCGTGACAATTTTGTGACTACCAATTTCTACTTTCTAATCCCTTCACCTCCTCCCCTATCCCCAACCCCTTCCCATCTAGCAACCATCAGTTTTTTCTCTATATCTCTGAGTCTATTTCTGTTTTGTTTGCTGGTTTATTCTGTTCTTTAGATTCCACATATAAGTGAGATCATATGGTATCTGTCTTTCTCAGCCTGACTCATGAGTTTTTAATGTCTCTAAACTTAAGGACAGAACTGGGCCAGATTCTAAAGGATTCTTAGAATCCTTTCAGAACCTAACACAGTGCCTTGTAACATACTTTTCGTAAAAGCAATGATTCTGTAATCCCAGGGCCTAGGTTAGAGGTTTTGCTCTGCCCTCTATGAGGTGACTAATGTCAGGCACGTCATTACAGCTCCATGAGTCTCAGTTCTCTCATCTCCAACACAGGAAGACATGATTGTCTCTCCTTCTGGTAGGTGTGAAGGTTAAAATGATATATTTCAAATCAAAAGTTTGAATCTTTATTGAGAGTAGGCAATCAAACAAATATTTTGATTTGATAAATGCGTTCTGTATATGTAGACAGATGCATACATATATGCTTTACGGTTTTAGCGAGTTCAAAGTTCCTATTTTTCTTTGGTTTTCAAATATCTCTCAATTTTAAAAATTAGGTACCTTTCGAAGCACATTAATGCCATGGCCTCATTAAATTTTGTTTTGGTTTCATAGAATATTGAAAGTTCTTAAATGGAAAATAGAACACTAGTAAATTCTAGGGGATTATATTTTGATACCTGTATTTTTTTTTAGATAGCATAGTTTTACTAATTTCATGATTCGTATCAAAGTTAAAATTGCCCCTTTGTATATTTTGGGAAAAGTAATGTGTATAATATATTTTTCTCTATATATATATTTACATATTGCAATATATATTTTATAATTATGTACAAAGAGAGAGAGAGATTTAGTTTTCTCCTACCTCTTAATTGGTAATTTATTAGAGTGTATTTTTAGACTCTTGTGCAATGAACTCACCTCAGACGTTAATTTGCCTTATGATAGAATCTTATAATTTTGCCATTAGTAGAAACTCTTTGGTTGGGATTCAAGAAAGCCCTGCTTTGGGCTAGATTTACTTTTGGAGCAAACAATGATAAAATGAATTTTTAGTTTATGGCTATGTCATGTTCATGAAAAGAGCCTTATCCAAGTAGTATGTTAAAGGCTTATATTAATATGTATAAATCTTGATGAGCTGTCATAGAAACTTAACTTTTGTGTATATCAGTTAGCCAGTGGTAAGATTGGTTTCATTACACGTCATTTGCTTAAAGTTGCAGAACCAATTGGCAGTATTAAGTGAGGACTTAACTGTATTTTCCATTCAGACTGTATATGCTTTTGAAACAAAATGCCTAACGCGTGTCTCCACTTGGGTATCCCGCTGCCATGCTAAACTCAATATATCCAAGTAGGTTATACTCCCCTTTCAAACGTGACCTTTCTTCTGCACGCTCTGTCTCAGGTGGTGGCACTGTCGCTGACCAGTTCACCCAAACTGGAACCCTTCTAGACTCGCCTCTCTCCCTTGCTCTTCATAACTAATTGGTTATCAAATTGTGCTCATTTTTTCTCTAAGATACATCTTGGGTCTGATTCTCTTCTCACCCCGATTAGTACTCCCTCATTCACACTCACAATGACACTGCCCCGATCTTCGGTTTAACCGTTTGGCCTGTTGCATTTCATTCCTGCCCCATGACTGAAAAAGCAGTTGTGGTCCCTGTGTTTACTGAGCCTGTGGCCTTCACCGTACGTGAGGGGAGTCTCACGGCCAAAGTCCCTCTGGCTTCATCCTGTATGAGCGTTTTCTCACTCTGGGAGTAGCTTGGTGACGTGTGACAGGAGCGCAAACTACTTTCGTTCTGGTATTCGGCCATTTTCAGCACTGGTTTCCAGGGCCCTGCAGAAGCAAAGCAGAAAGAGAGTAGAGGTTCACGAGGGAGGTTTCTAGTGCCTACAGATGGAAATGCAGTCTCTCAACTGCCCTCATTCCACAATGACTGCAAGGGAGGCTGGGACATGTAGTCTAGCTTATGGGCCCAGGAGAAATATTGCAATGGTTTGAGAAACAGATTACCAGTCTTGACAATGCTCATGTTTCTCTGTTACTCCAGTGAGCCTCGCTGCCATCAGTGTGACAGTTCTAGAGTGAAAACCTGACACTTACTACAGATATTCAGTGACTTCCTAAAACCTCATGGAGAGTGCTCCATGACCTGGCCCTTAATCAAGTCTCGAGTGCCACCTCTCATGACTTATCAACAGGCCATTTGTGCACTAGCAGCATGAGGTTTTCACACTCACTGTCGTGCATTTGCTTATGCTATACGCGTGCTCTGAAATCTCAGCCCGCCTCCCCTCCACTGCTTCCATTTCCACCAAACTAAATCTACTCCTCTCTTTAGCGTCAGCTCAAAACTACTTCCTCCAAGATGATTTCTCTGTGGCTGTCCTCTGGACTGGATTTGGTGCATCACCTTTTGTACGCCTCTGCTTTTCTCCCAGCATGTGTATCCACTGCAATCTGTTTTCACATCTCCCCTCCCTGGACGTTGAGCTTCCTGTGGGCAGGGCCACTCTGCACAGGGACACGGCTGCACAAAGCACGGTGATTAGTGCATAGTTAGTTGGGCTTTGCTGGGTGAGCGCTACCTCTGGTTCCATGTCTTCCAGATCCATCTCCTCTGAGACCCCGCCCTTCTGTTTCTTCCACCTTCTGCCTCTCTAAGTGTAAGCCTCTGGTATCAGATTGTGTGTTTTGGTTTTTGTAGAGCAGCAGTTTCCCATTACGTGACATTGGTCAGCACAGCCCTTTGCTTAGCGAGGAGCGGCTCCCAGGGTAGCAGGACTGCCAGCGGTTTCTGAGCCTGTGCTTTCGCTGCTTCTGGCCGTTTTCTCTGGAGTGAGGCAATGATAGGATGAGTGTCTATAGTCCATCCAGACATTTGTCTGCAGGCTGCAGTTCATGTGAAAACACTGGCTGGAGCTTTTCCCAGGAAAAATGCCCGGCTATTGGGAGAACAGTGAATGTTTTGTTGGCACGAAGAGAAATACCCTGGGTACTCAGCTTAAATGGTTCTCATTAGAGCTTCATGCTTCTGTAAAGAAGTAATTCTTTAAAATTCTCTCAGCTTTAGTTTCTTTAAAATTTAATCAGCTTAAGCTTTGATTACAAGTGAAATAACAGAAAGTGAGAAAAATACCTTAGGTAATTTGACATTGATAATAGGGAGCGGAAAGAATTATGTATCGTAGAATGGAGATTTATTTAAATGATTTATTAGGTATAATCATCAAAAATATGTAAATGTTAAGAAAATTCAACAATTGGTATCTGAACACAATATGTAAGACCTAACATCTGGAACAATTAAGAGACACAATTCCTTCCCCAAACCAAGTGTGCTTTTTATCTAGTTTGAGTATTTTTTATTCTGGGACCCATCACTTAGTATTTTAACATGTCTTCATAGCAACCTTTCTCTTTGTCTCCATTTTTCACTGGTAAAATTTCTAGGCCTTCCTTATGCTAGCTGAAGTTGAGAGTAATAGACAATGGACAGAGGTTCCCAGGAGCTAGCTCATGAGTGACGTGCAAATTGTGTGTAACACACGTTCTGACTCTTCAAAGGCCTTTTTGACGTACTTGCTAGTTCTTGGCTACAGTCTAGATAGGTGAAGTATTATTGATATCTTTATGAATAATGGATTTATAAACTGAAGTGTAAAAGAAAATTAAAGATCAACTGATAGCTTTCTAAAAATTTAATGAGAAAATTCCTTTTGCAGGGCCAAGGGCATTAATGTAAAAAGTAAAAAAAAAAAATCATATGTTTTTCAACTATTTAATATCTAAGTTTTATGACTTGGGATGAGAAAGATAATTTTGTTTTATATATTTATTACTCTCTCTTTTAAAGTAGGCTGTCTTTTAAATATTTATTTTTCAATAATATATCCACTTTTAATCTTGAACTGGTATTGGAAAGGAACATTTTTGTTGTATTGCATTGAATGCATTTAAATATATATTTGGCTTTTATAAACTGGAATAATATATTTTAAATCTAATATAGACTGTGACATAAACCATTTGTACCCTATAAAATTCCTACATTATCTTGAAAGCTGAGTTATTACAAGTGACCGTTTATAAGTTTGTATATATATATATTTTTTTTTAAAGATTTTTTTTTTATTGGGTAATTGGGGGGATGGGAACAGTGCTGGGGAATTAGGGGAAGGGGAACAGACAAGTTGCTGTTGTTTTGTTCTTCAATCTAGTTGTGGAGGACGCTGCTTCACTGGCCCAAGTTGGCACCATCATTGCGCTCTTCCCTGGCGAGGCAGATCAGTCGCCGGCTTCTGGACGGCCGCTCACTGCGGCTGCTGGCCGCTCACGCTGGCTGCTGGCTACATACGGTAGCCCATGGCAACCCACTGCCACAGGGACTGCAGCCTATGCCGTCGCCAGCAACTCACGGCAGCCCAGCTCCAGGTTGAGCTGTTGTTCAGCATCTTAGCTGTAGAGGGCAGTGTCACTGGCCCTCATATGTGGGATCCGAACAGGGGCCCTCTGGCATCCCAAGCGAGCTCTTAACCATCGCGCCACTCGGCCGGCCCCAAGTTTGTATATTTTTTAAAACCCAAACATGCATAAAGGTATAACTTACGTTAGGCATTTAGAAATGTTTACAATTGCTCCAAAAGGTTTGGGATTTCTGAACATGAGCTCTGCATTTAGCAACTATAAACTTGTTTTCTTTTTGTTGCATCATTTACATTGTCTCAGCAATTCTTAATTTGTTTTCATTAGTAGAAAGGATGTATCACATTACTTTGAATTACTAATAAAAAGAAAAATATAGAATATAGTTTTACAAATAGAACATTTGTCTTTAACGTTACGTTATTAAAGATTGCTTCTAAATCTCTTTTTATAAATCTCTTGAATTCCAGGTATCGCAATTTCAGATGAACTTGATAAGGTAAGTTGAACCATACATCTAATGAAGAGAACATGAGAACTTAGGTTTGAGTGCACTATCGAAATTAAAAAGTTTCTGAAACATGAAATGTGTTAATATAAATTATTTGGTGCCAACATTTTAAAACTTTCAAAGTTATATGCTTATATTTTTTTAATGAAGGTTATTTCCTGAAATATATATCACCTATTCTTTTGAGTCAAGGAGTTTTGAATTTGGTTATATAAAACTGAATCACTGTAATCACTGAATCACTACATTAAAAAATGAACACTAATAATATTGTATTATGTAAATTATTTGGATTCTGCCTAGATCATCTAGATGATGATGATGATGATGATGATATGGAAGACATATAGTTCACTTGTTCTTTTCTACGGCTACTTTTTTAAACCTTACTCAGTTTTGTTGTTGTTGTTGGGTTTTTGTTTGGTTTGGTTTTTTGGTTTTTTTTTTTTCTTTTAAGATGCAAAGAGAATATGGTGATGCCTTGCATTGGAGTGATAGTTGTGAAGGTGATGAGAAGTGATATGATTAGGACTATATTTTAGTGGTAGTATCAATGGAGCTTGCTATGGATTGGATGTGAGGAGCTATAGAAGAGATCAGTCAGTGATGATTCTTAGGTTTGGGGGATAAGAAACTAAGTGAACTGTGGTGCCATTTACCAAAATTAGAAAAGCTGGGGAAAGAGCAAATTTGGCAGGTTAGGATAGCAACCTGCTATCCCTTTTGAATTGTTTATTTTGAGTTATCTGTTAAACATGTTTATATGAGTTGTTGCTTGTAAAGGAAATGTGATTTAGAATTATACATTTAGGAACGATTGGGATAGAAGTTCTCATTTTTTTGGCCTCAAGACCCGTTGATATTCTTAAAAATTATAGAGGACTCCAAAAAATTGTAGATTATACCTTGACATATTTACCGTGTTACAAATGAAAACTGATAAAAGTGTTACATATTTATTCATTTTAAAAATAGTGACAAAAGCATCACATTAAAAAACATATTTTTATGAAAAAATACTTTATTTTCTACAATAAGATATCTGTGAGAAAGTTACACTCTTTACAGTTTAAAAAACCTCTTTAATGTCTGGCTTAATTGAAAACTTCTGGATTGTCATATATGCTTCTGTATTCAATCTGTTATGATATCTTGTTTTGGCTGAAAAAAAAAATTGACATGAGATATGTAGTTGGAAAAGGGAGAAAAACCTAGAAATAGCCATCAGCAGTTGGTAAACATCGATCCAAATACCTCTCTAAACAGAAAACATTGATATATTTGGCTTGGTGGCTAAATACACAGAAAGAAAATGATAGAAAATGTTGTACAAAAATGGCATCATTTAACTATGACATCTAAAAGTAAACTATACTGTAATAATTACATTATTTTTATAAAAACAATAATTAGCATTTTTCTATTCCAAATAAGAATATGCCTTTTGAATGTTGTACCACAAAAATAAATTTTTGATTTACTAAATAAATAAGTAAATAAAATATATGAATATGTTCTTAAAAATGAATTCCCTTTAATAAGCCATCATAATATTTTAAAATCATTTTAATTTCTATTTGTATTAACTGCATGCAAACTAGGCCATGACTGTGTGTAGTAGCTGGCTGAGTGAGTGGCAGGTGTCGTCTCCTGGCTGCGTCCTCTTTTTCTAGTTCTCTGTGTCTGTCACTGTCTTTGCCCAGACTGGTCTCCTTCTTATACTATGACTTTCCTTACAATTTGCAGAACTTTAATAATCCCTGCTCTTGCATTTATACCCTATGTTCATTTTAAGTACAGAGACACAATCATCATCATTTCTAGGCTCATTTGCTGCTTCCAACATATTCTGCAAAACCCTGGATGTCTGAGCCATAAATTAGCTTGTGTGAGTCTTTTTGGCCCATGTCCTTCCCTTTTTTCTGGGTTTGATTTGCAGCTGGGTTAGTGTCTACACCTTGGCTAAAGAACATACTGATTGTCTTTTGAACTGAAAATGGATTTCACCCTCACCGGATACAACTGTGGATTCCCAGACACCTGGTTCCAAGTATCATCCCCAGGATACAGGCTCCCCTCTCTCTCCCTTTCTCTTCCAAGCACTAGCTAGCTCAGGGGAGTGTCCATATAACTACGTTGCTGATTTTCATTTACTTACTTAATAGGCATCTTTTTGAAGCCTTCATGGAAACTATTGAAATTTATTGCACATGTATTTTCGTTTTTATTGAGGAAGACACTAATTGTCACACTAAATAAGATTTATTGAAAATAAAATATTCATGCTAGTAGAAAAAACTTGTTCCCACTCGCATACTTGATTTTCAAGAGTACCAGACAATACAAATGAAACACACACTTTCTTCCCGAGTCGCAGCCGCGATAGGGAATCACCCCTTGGATGAGAGGAACCGCCTGCCCCATGGCGCCCTCTGGTGACCAGGAAGCTCACAGCTTTGCTTTTTTCTCACTAAGAAAAAGTGAGTATCAGACAGACACTAAAGAAACAGTCACACAGAATGACTTACAATTTGTGTTGACCTGACACTTATGTCTTTAATGTAATAATAAAAATAAATACAGATTCTTCCTTTTAATCTTCCATTAGCAATATTGGGGGTTCAGTAAAGATATATTTTTCTTAACCTTTATAAAACACTGATTTTTCACTGTCATTCTAATTTGTTTATAATATCATTGAAATTTTTTCTTCTGTGACCTTTAAAGCTAGTTTACAAATTCTGAAAAAGATAAGAATTATTAATTCTATGTAAAATGGAAAGATAAAATAAAACAGATACTAATATTATTTTGAAGGCTTTCTTTTAAACTGTAGGAATTCTATTAATTTCTGATTGGTTAATCTTTTCGTTTCCCTTTCCTTAGCCACAGTTCTGGCTTTCTATTGCTTCTATAATAAATTAAAACAAGAGAATTTATTATGTTACAGTTCTGTAGTTTAGAAGTTCAACATGAGTTTTCCTGGACTAAAATCAAGGTATCAAAGGGCTGCCTTCCTTCCTGGAGTTCAAGGGGAAATCTGTTTTCTGCCCTTGGTATTATAGCTTCTAAAGGCTGCTTTATTCCTTGGCGCATGGCCCCTTTCTACATCTTCCAAACCAGCGACATCTCATCTCTCTCTAGCTTCAGCTTGGGAAAGGCCTCCAATTTTATGGGATGTGCCTAGGTTGGGACCACTCAGCTAATCAAGATAATGGCCCCATTGTAACATCTTTAGCCTTAATTATGTGAAGTTCCTTTTGCCATGACATGTGACATATTCACAGGTTTAGGGATTAGGATGTGGACATTTGGGGAAGCCATTATTTTGCCTACACAGTCCTCATCTGAGTTCAGATGGTGTGACCTTTCATAGCTATATATAATTTTTCAGACTCCTATGATTCCAATTCATCCCTGAAAATGTCATACAGTAGGCATGGTTGGCGCCTGCCCAGTTCCCCTTCACCAGGACGGTGCGACCCATCTTTCGACTATGAGTGTTGGGTGCCTTCGGGCTCCTTCATCTCCCAGTGAGAAGCATCCTGCCCAGAGCTGCCCGGGTTGGCCCTCGACGAACACCTGACTGAAATAAGGCTCTGTGTTGTCATTCATATCCCAGAGCTCCCTAGGGGATCGAGCTGAGCGTAGAGCTGAGCTGAATCGTGTTTTCCCTTGCTTTCTCCTGCTTCCTTCACTCTTACAGGTTTCACTTAAAAACTGCCCTCCCCTCCACCCCCCAGTAAATCAGTTTCTCAGCCTCTAGTTTTAGGGAACCCTAGCTAAGACATGCCATGGGAGGAACCTCCCTAAAACCAAATCCTGCTGAAAAATTTTTTGTGACTGCCTACTACCTACCAAATGAAGTCCGGATTCCTTAAGACTAGACTTAGCAGTCGCTTTTTTTTTTTCATTTAAATCTGTATCGTATGCTGTATTTCACTGTTTTTTCTCTATCAGAGTCTGTGCTGTACTCAACCAGGAGTAGTGTAAGACAGCCAGACTCTAGTACTTCCAGGTCACATTTTTTATGTATTTTCATATTTTCATTCATTGTCATCCGTCCACCCCCTTCCCTGATCTTTTTTGCAGAAAAGCGATCTCAGCTCATGTGCGCTCTTCGAGAACGCAGCAGCCACATCACAAATGGAACTTCTTGTCTCTCTCTTGGAATTTGTGTTCACTGCTTCAGGAAGTAGCTTGGTATTCTGGGAAAATCCGCAGAATCTTGGCTGTTGTCATTTTCTAATTATGTGACTTCAGAAAGTTATTCATAGATGCCGAGCTTCAGTGTTCTGCTCTGTGAAATGGAATGGTTTTAGTAACTATTAAAAATAACATCAGTTACTTGCTCACTCAAAAATACCTTTAGGTAGATTGCTAAGCTGTCCCAAATATGAAGCATTTAAAGAAACAGTTGGGAAAATCATTTCAAAAAGGAATGGGTTAGAGGGAAAATATGAGCCCGCTGCACAAACCGCAGGTTTGAGGTTCAATATCATTGCTCCAGTTGAGCCACATTGAGCTTTTTGTCTCTCAGTGTCATCACCCCCCATAGGATCATAGCAAACTGGTTGTTCACAGGAAGACGAACTTCCTGCAACTGAATCCTAAGAAAAGAATGTCTCCAATGTAATCCTCATGGAGTAGAGACTGTATAATGTGTCATTATCCTCAAAAATATTCTTATATTTTTATGAACGAAAGACAACAGAGTGAAAAGGCAGCTTTTGGAATATGAGAAATATTTGCAAATCATATGTCTGATAAGAGGTTAATATGCAGGATATATAAAGAACTCCCACAACTCAACCGCAAAACAGCCTGATTAAAAATGGGCAAAGGACTTCAATAGACTTTTCTCCAAAGATGATATACAAATGGCCAGCAAGCTTATGAAAAGATGCTCAGTGTCACTGATCATTAGAAAAAATGTAAATCAAAATTACAGTGAAACTACAGTGAGATACCATCTCATATCTATCAGG